TGACGACAATGTCAATATCGTTATATTGCGCAATAGAAAGTAATCAGAGTGCGTCATACGACTATTATATATAGTATATTATATGTAATGTATATACTTTTTTTCTTGATCCGCCGTATTTTAACCATTTCTGCCAGTTTTTTTAAATTGTATCAATTTATAAATTTTTATGTTATATTAAAAATACTTAAATTAGAAAAACATGATAGATATTATAGATCTTGTACACAAAATAATTCTTTATTTTACACAATGATGAATTTTTCATGGAATGCAATTTTAAATATTTACTACTTATGTTATATTATTCATCTATTATATTCTGAGTCTCTAAAAATGAAGAATTATTTTTATAATTTCTTTATAGAATTTTTATAAAATAGTACTGTACATCCAATCATATTTCTATTGTTTTACGATGATGAATTTTATAACACAAATTTACATCAGTAATTTTATTCATATTGCACTTAACCATAAAACTGATAGCTGACAGCTGACAAGTGACAGCTGCCAACAATACTGTTGTATAGACATGGACTGAGAGAGAACATATAATATATTATATATCCCTTTCACTCGCAAGATTTTGCTAAAACATATCGATTCGTTTCTTATGACACCTCTCTGATTCTAGGCTATCTATTACGTAAGTATTATATGATAAAAAAAGCAACGACAATATAACGATATTAAACTGTGTGTGTGTGTTAAAAAATTACAAAATTAGAGTACCTATATTGTTACACGTAAGTTTTTGATTTTTTTTATAAACCACAGAATGCATTCAGTCAATAGGCACTGGTAAATTCGAAACATTCTCGATCTCAACACGATCAAAGAGGTTCAAGAAATGTCAACTCGATTGACCGATGTTATAACGTCCTAACCATTTGTACCAGTCGATTCTGTTCCGTCCTTGCAGCTTTGAGAGATCTTCCGGCGACATTCATCACTGCTTAAAAAGTACGCGCGTCTCTCGCGTTCTTTGTAACTTATGTCTCCGTCTGTTCTTCTTCCCCAACTCACAGAGAAATGTTCACAAATTGTCAAAAGCTCCTATCTGACGCTTCTATCTCCCTTTATACGTCAGTTAGTTTGAAACGAACATGAACGCAGTTTGGAAAAGTGCCACGCGGAATTCTTTATTTAGTTTTTAGGAAGTCCGAGTAGGAAATATATAGCTACAAAGATAATACATACATTATTGTAAGTGTAATATGAAACTTTTTTTTTTAAACACTTTATTTCAATTCTACCACGCGAATTTCGTATTTGAGAAATTTATAATTTTTGATAAAACTTAAAAATATATAAAAAATGCTTTTTCTAAATGTTTTAATTATTTATAGTTCTAATAATTTTTTATATAAAAATAATTGACATATTAAATTAACTTGTTTAAAAAACTGATTATAATGTTTTTATAAGGCAGGAAAAAAATATGAGCTAAACACCGAATGAATGTATAAGAATATAATAACAAATGAATAATAATTGTAATCAAATAATATCGTGGGAGAGAAAGTTGATGCTATAAATTTTCTCCGTGGAGCGGAAGTAAATTGGCGAGATAAATGCGGAACTGACGAATCACACGTAACGATTACGAGACGTGCAAGATAACGCAATTTTTAGAGAAAAAGGATTGCGCGACGTGCTTCGACTAATAATACATATTCTTTAAATTCTGGTTCCGTCCGGTTACCCGCGAGATTAATGTGGCAGCCTGTCTACACTTCAAAGGATCTTTAGCGAAGTTCGCCAAGATCAGATGGTGCGGTATCTCGTACACGACGCCTTTAATTAATTCTATCCGCAGCACCTCGATTTCGCGTGAACCTAATTGAAATGTTATTTCACAGCAGGTGTGAAGTACGTTCTCGAGTCTCGTAATTCTCGTTTTAAGCAAAATTTCAAGTGATATATCTACATAATTGGATTTAACTCTTTGAAGTGTTACATTTATATAATATCTTTTATAAAAAGTAAAAATAGTATATTCGTTGCAGTTGATTTTTTTTTGTTATATTATACCTAGCAATATTATAAATCGCTGAATTCGAATTTGAAGTAAAAATTTTAAATTTTACGTGTGTATGGTTTACTCAGGGCGACAGTTCAACAAATTTTTCATTCGTGTAATATGTCCTATAAGAACAAATTTTGCTTATACAAGCAGTGTTGCGCTTAAATAATTAAAAATTATCTACATATAGATAAGATGAATCACACAATAATGTATCTTAGGTAAGATTAAGATGATTAATTTTACATTAATCTAGATAAAAAATAAAATTTAAAAAAATTTTATGTAGATAATCTTTCAGATGATTTTATTTTTAACTATTAGGTAGTAAAACAATTTAGGATACAAAAAATGTGATTTCATATTTTTCTAAGTTTTTATTTTTTAAGAACAAAAGCTGTTCGAACATTTCATCTGATAAACGATTTCTACGTGCGAATTAATATTTGTTGTCTACAACTAAAGAGGCGCTCTACTGGCGGTGGCAATGATGTGTTATACTTAAAAAAAATTTATTTGACATGTGGATACAAATGAAGAATATCTATTTCCTTAGATTTATTTTCTAAAAATATGAAAAATATATACTTCAATATATCTTTAAATGACTGGTGTCGCACTAATCTCAGTTTTTTGTCTATAGAACGAAAAAATCCTCATCACTACTACTACTACTGGAAGTTAATTTCATGTAATACTTTTGTACAATCTTAAATAGTTCGAAAAAGATAACATTTCTTTATCTAAGATAAGATAAAGATAATCTATATTCTTAATAATCTAGATGAACATAAGATAAAGCCATTTCTTCATCTAGATGATTATCTAGATAATTTTATCGAAATAACGATGAAAACACTGTATATATACAAGATATATTAAAACTTAGTATCCGAAAGCTCTCGAGTCATTGATTTCGAATTTAAAATCTTTACAAATTAAAAAAGAATACAAAATGACAGAAAATCGTGAAAAGTAATCGAATTTGATATCACCATCATGCGTTACCAAAATAAATGATAAAACCATTAGTAACTTGAATGTGAAAAAAAATATATATGTGTGTGTGCTTCAAAAGATTAAAGTCTTATAATAGCCATTGTAGTGAGATAAAATTGTTTCTTACATCACACATTATTAATGTTTAATCGAAAATATAAAGTATTTTATTCTTGTTAATTTCATGACGATTGAATTTAATCTTGGAACTTCTTGTCGGAATTGATAATTATTAGATTAAGTTGAAGAAATGGATCATAGTAAATTGCATTACTCCAGTTTTTGCAGCCGTTTAGTGTTTCACAATTTCATAATTCGATAACGGACAGAAAAGATGAGATATAAGTTTGACTACAACACCACTTTCATTAAATACAACATATTAAAAAATTTATTTTAAAAGACAAATGGTCTGACAAAAATTTGTAACAGAATTGCGCTCTCAGCGAAATAGACGTACGTGATTTATAATAGCGCGGCTTTCTCTGTCGTTCGGAAACCGAATGGCTCATCAGATTTCGAGGCAATTCAGGGCGATTGCATTCTTCGGAGTCGCGATCACTGGCGCTGCATCGAAATTGTTTGCCGGCTTTAATCTCGCCTCGCAGCAGTGACAAAGTATCGTCCGCAAGCGCATCGTTACTTGAATCACCGGAGATGCGTCTGCCCGAGGTATTTCACGGTAATACCACTGCAGCGAGCGATCGCCTGAGCCAATGCAATGGTTAGACACTTACGTAACATTAAAGCCGCTGCTGGCTTTAATCTTGCTGCATGACGCTCGAATGGCTTCACGGAAGACAATGTTAGGAACTTAACGGCGGAATTATTCCTGATGAGGCAAACTAATTCTGCATCGGCGAAGTTCGTTCGACAATAGTTGTTATCGTAATCATAATATACAGGAAACTTTTCAAGGGGTATACAATTTTATTATAACTGTACAGTTCGCAAGAATAACAAGTGTACATTTATTCTAGAATAATTTAAAAAGTAAATGTAAATTGATTTTTTTACAAAATATAAAAGTTTCACGGGATTGAAACATATGTATATATTGTATAATAAATATTACTCCTAACTCGGAAGTACAAAACGTAGTACAAAGAAACAATTTATTGAAAATAATTACAAGTTCACAATAGTATAATCTCCGATAAAACAATGACTATTACAAATTGGAGAGGATAGATTTACGAGTGCTAATTTCCTTTCTGGAATTCCGTCAATTTATTTTCTGATCTAAACAAAACTTCTACGGCAGTCTACAGGTCAAAAATTATTGTCAACGACACGAAAAAACATTTACACCGAAAAGTCGCGGCTGAATGGAATATCTCGTTAGCGTTAGGTGCATTTATAGCTGCTGTTATAGCCCTGAATTCACGAGTGAAACCGAATCGAGTGCGCTAGTCTGATTTCTTTCTTTGACTGCGTGTTCCTTTTACTCTGCAATGTGGTGCACATATAGATATCGATATGTATATAAAGGCGATACTCCGCTGATCTAGTTGCTGCTCTAGAGTGTCCTGTTGTTGCGGACCATCACAGTCGACGCTCCATTTTTTGGTTCCTTGACAATTAGCTCCCTCTGCGCTTCTGCGAACACCAAGTGCATCTCAAGACATGCACTGAAAGTTTATTTCAGAATTATTATTGTTCGTAATTAAGCAGTTAAACACGAGCGTGCAGTTGTAGTCATGATGAACGGTGTATCAATGTATTTACTATAAATCTCCTCTTAAAATTTGGAGAAATATAATTAAAAAATATAAAATTTTATATATATATATATATATATATAAAATTTTATATATATATATATATATGTTTTTATGTAATTGTAAAAGCTAACCCTCCGACTGCACGTTCGTACGTCAGAGATGAATTACGTGGGCATGGAGTTCGAACGTTTCAACGATGGCGACATTTATGCGCGAGCTTAATGCCAGCCACTTTTTCTGTCATGTAGGTCGATCTAAGACACATGGACGAAAAATCGGGGAGCAACGTGGTGGACGTGGGAGTTGACCTGTCCGAATTCTATATGTCGGTAGAATGGGATATTTTAGAAGTTCCTGCAGTTCGGTAAGTGTTCATTGGCGTTATTTTATTTGATCTTCAAATATATAGTACGTTAATACATCTCTATTTGCATTTTAGTAATATATATGATGTTATACACAATAACTCTCTCTCTGTACATTGTTATAAAAAGTGATCAGAATTTTATTGAATTTTTATTTATTTATACGCGATATTTCATAAAATGTTAATATAAGGATTTGAATTTGAGATCTTATATGAATCAAATATGTATTCTCATATTGAATACAAAGCGATTACGGTTTATTGTCTTGTATTCAATATGAGATTTGCCAAGTTCATCTATTTTTTCTGGATAAGATCTCAATCTAATCCCCGAGATCCTCAAGTATAGCGGAGATATCGGAATCTCAAAACGCGCCTAGAAGAGGCCCCTTTCTCTTTCCTTATGAAACTCTTCTTCACATTCAATATGCTAGCCTGGCATAAGCGAACAGCTGCTTCCGGGCACGATTCGATTTCCGATATTCGGTGCGCCGCGATGCCAACGGGAATCGGATTCTGCTTTCGGAAGCTGCCATAGCGATAAAATGGATGTTGTCACAGAAGTGACCTGCTACTAGAGATGTTCAAGATATTCCGAAATATTGGTGCTCTAACGATTGAACACTTTCGACATCGGTATTACACCTTTCGTATTTTCCAAATCGATGCCACATTCGATTTAAGTGCCCCTATTTGTCACGTCGAAGATTGGATCCTTTGCGAGAAATTATGATCTAACAAATGGATCAAGTCAATCACAACGATGACGCTCGAGAAATTGTACGTAGGGATAACAAAAATTTAGGTCAATCTTAAAGAAATCGTTTAATTCACATTTTTTCCTATATTTAGAATCGTTTTAATAGGCGATCGTTTAGCGTACCTATCGAGATTGTTATTGGTAGAGATTTGTAGGGGTGAAGCTTATTTTGATAATGAAGAATTACGTTATATTGAAGTTACTGATCTTTTTATACGCACGAATACAATACTGTTTAAAAATAATTTCTTAATGAAAGAGACGACATAGAAAGAATAAGGCACATGAGTTAAACGGCTAACTATGCCTCTATTAACGATTAAATTATAATAATTATACTAAAATGATCAAACACACAAAAACGTTTTGCTACAGTTTGTGCACTTTGATTACCATCCCGAATCTCGTCAAAAATTGCGTAATTTCGTGTAAAAAAATTGAACGTTTGAAAAATAAAGTAATTCAAATTTATTCACGACACAAGACATTACTGGCTCCAGTTTGAGACTATCGACCTGAATAGAAAGGACAGACGGGGAACGTAAGGGAATAGTCTGAACCGAGTTACCGACTTAGAGAGATCTTCAACGGAGTTATATATACGACCCTGCGAAACTTTTCTCATAAGTCTCGCTCACCGCCGACCCTACTTACTTAAAACGTACTTATTGTCGGGTACAAACGCTTCACTGTTCTGAATAGCGGAATTCTTACGTTCTTTAGGCGAATTTTTTTTTTTCTTTTCACTTCATCGCCATAATCCTAACGCACCCCTCCACTCGTTTATCGATCCGACGATTAACCGCAATGTCTCTTGCGTCTTTTCTTCTCGCAGGAACGAGAAGTTTTACACTTGCTGTGACGAGCCCTACTTGGACATCACGTTCAACATCACGATGAGGAGGAAAACCCTCTTTTACACAGTGAACATTATCATCCCCTGTATGGGGATATCGTTTCTCACGGTTCTCACGTTTTACCTGCCTAGCGACAGCGGTGAAAAGGTAAGCTGATACATTTCTTACTGATAAATATTTGTATTCACTTTCGCATTTTTATGAATATCTCCGCGTGTGATTATCCTAACGTTAAATCTATATTAAAATAATAAATTTATTCAATGAGAGATGTTTATTTCCAATTTTTCTTTTTTATTTCATGTTTCCTTCAATGTTTGCTAAACAATTTTTTATACAAACAATACTGCAACATTTTCTTTTCCACTTACATTATCTTCTGTGATAAATTGGTCTCTGTACAGGTATATTTGAAAATCGAAAAGATATTGTAAAGATTAAAGTGTATCTCTATATGCTATATAATATAAGCTGCTGTATAGGATTTCTGTCTTCTATTTTAAGCTTTTCAGAAACACATATAATACAGCGAATAAACATATCTGAAATAAAGAGAATAAGCGTGAAAGAAGGACAGAGCCGCGATTAATCCTTTTATTCTTGGAAGCAGCCGCGGGGCGAACGTGCGTGAAATATGCGGCGAATTAGTTCTCTTCCGCGTGTCTGTCGGCCTCGTTATTTACTCTTATCTGTACATAAGAGCTAGTAGGTGGTTACTTTTGGCTCGACGGCGCCGGCGATTTTTCATTTCCACCCCGGCTTCTACCCTCATCGACTTACACTACTTACCATCTTGACTCGCGCTATTTTCGCTCGCCCGTGAACAGAGATCCTTTTCCACTCTGTGTGTGTATGCACTAAGAAGATTACTCCTACACAACAATTGGGGTGTTCGAGAACATTGTTGAATGTATTAATTTACACATATCTTCTTAATGTTACTCGAGTATATTACATTACTCGGATATTCTGAATGGGTTACTGATGTTTTTAAGTTCCTTTAAATTTTTTAATGCTTTTTTTTTAGACGCGAGTTCTGTCAAATATTTCTCTGATCTTGTTATCCTACAAATACATTCTAGATATTCATCTGCATATTATAAATATTCTTTGAGAATATCCTGATAGATATATCCTCAAGTATCCACATGCTGTGCGTGATTCTATACGCATTTTCTTCCTCTCCAGCGAAGAATATTTTGAAGAAAGGTTTATTCTGCCACAGAACGACGTTTACAGCTGACGTTCTTCCCGAAGCGCCCTTCCTCGCGCGAAGTTATCGACGTAGCATGGCATAAAAGCTTCACCCGTAATTCCCCACGCGCTTTTTCTCCGTTAATGTCCACAGCACGTTGCGACATGCCACAAAGGTTATTCGTTACTCTGTGAAATGGTATTGTGAAATGTTTTTTCTTTCCCAACCCCCTCGGTCGGTTTCTTTGTTTCTTCTGGTGGGCCGACTGCGAGGACTCGCGTTAAAATCGTTCTTTTCTCTTGCTCGTATTCTCTTCTTCGTTTCCTTCTCTTTCTCGATGAAAAAGCATGGCTATTAGTCGTACTTGCGCGCAGTTGAGGAACTATCGACCGCGCGTGCAATTAGCATCTGTCATTAAGAAGAACCGGACAGCAGTTGATTGTGTCCCGAAGTACCGAAGGTAATAGGAATGTTTTTACACGATGCAACATGTTTGCCTTATTCTCTCATTAATCCCTTCAACATCGAGTCTCCATTGTAAGAGAAAATATTAATTTATCGAACAGTTTTCTATATTTTACACTGAAAGCTTTTATTATTAAATTAATTTTTAATTATTATTTTTCAATTAATTATCGACGGAATTATATTATAAAAATTTTTAACTCCTTTTATATCGTAAATTGCACGAATTTCTTTGTTTTTAATTTTTATTTTTAAATGAATTGTTTCAAATGCATGTTGATTCGTTCGGAAAATGATAAATTATTTTAGACTATATGTTTCATCAGAATGTTATTTATAAGATTTTTTGCCAAGAATATGATACGATATATGTAGGCCAAATCAATTAAAAATCAGAATTTCTGAATATACTCGTATAAGTGACATTAAGAAAGGCAGGCTCATCATCGATGATTTGGAGCCATAGCTTGATGTACAACTATAATTTTACAAGAGACAAAGTTAAAATTTTAGATAGTGAACTCTCTTATAATAGAAGATTGAACTCGGAAATGATACATATGAAGAGATAACAGTATAGATTAAACAAGCAAAGCGACATAAAATCCCTTTCAGATTCATATCTATCTATTTTACAATGTTTATCCTCTTTCTAATTTCTTCCCCTTCTTTTTTCCCAGTACCTCACGTTCCTTTTTCTTCCACTTTATTTTGTTAACATTGACTCCTTTTTTTCTTATTGATGTCATTGCTTGTTTCTTAGTTTAATTATAACAATTTAAAATAACACTTGAAATGTGGTATTTGGATGAAAACAGAAAATTTCTAGCGTTATTTTTATTGCAATTTATAATGTCGATTGTTTGTAATAACTAATGTTCATTTTTTTTAGAATTTTATTTTTTAACTATACGTATAATACATTTTAGCTTGTATATAAATTATCGTCTATCCACTTTAGCAAGTTGATATGACAAGATGAATCTGATGAGACAACTGGTCATGCAATTGCAATTGGATTTTATTGTTATTAATATTACTACTTTTTGTCATAAAGTGAAAGTAACACTGGAGAAATTTACAGTAAATTTGAAGAGATAAACTATTTTTTAATACTTTTAATTATATGTTTCATTACAATCGATCTTAATATTAGTATTAAGGAAGAATTAATTCTATAAAAAATTTTCAATTTGCGTTACTTTAAAATGTTATCAACTTTTATTTAAAAAACTGTAACGGTTAGATATTGATTGTAACTACTTATTCCTTTATTTAATATTCTTTATTTACACTAATGATGAGGGTAGAAACGTTTGTATTTTAAATTATATGAATTATTAAATATTTCGAAGCAACTAAAAATCAGCTTAGACTGATAGCTTCTTTTATGTAAAATTTTTTTAATTTTTTGAGTCCTCTCTCTCTCTATTAATTGATAAATTACGCATATTTCACTTGATATTCAGCATTTCCGATTGAAATACAGCTCGTGTGATTCGACGAGGACGCGAGAAAGCACAAAGTCAATCATCCATTCTATCTTTAACCGTTTATTGATTTTGCTTCCGAGAAGCAAGCAACGTGAAAAGGAAACGCCAATGTATTATACATTTGCTATCGTCATTTTCAAACAAAATACATATAAGCGCGAGACACATTTTATGATGACGAGAGACATTACTTTTGTAATATTCACAATAAAACATCATGCAATATATTTATACATACAATGCATATACAATGTGTTATCAAATCAAACTTTCAAACGGATTTAACCCAATTGATATTTACGAATCCAGTAGATTCATTGTCAGATATTTTTTTTCATTACGTCTTGAAAATTTGTTTATAACAAATATTTTTCAAAGTTCTACATAAAAATTTTAAAAAATAACATAATCTTATTCCTCGGATTTAGAATAAAAAAGTCATTCAATTGTGTTAACTTTAAGCAAAAATACATTAATTACAGTACACTGAATCCGCAAATATTATAATAATTATTTCGGGGAGAATATTGATTTGAACTAACTCATATAATTTTGATAGACACGATGAAATCATTCGAGAAACTGTATCGCGAGCGTACGCTTGTTTCTATATTGTCAAGCTCCAATTTCTCGTAGAATCTTTGCGGATATACTGCACGAGACGTGCTACGAATGCGAACGACCAACGAGAAAGTGGCGCGAAGAATTTGCGAACGACTTTTCGCGGAAGCGTCTCTCGTTTGGATGGCTGTCGAGTTGAGACCTGCTATCAACATTCACGTTCCAGAATATACATCTTCCGTCGTGTCGGAAAAATGCCAGGAAGTTATGCAGTGTCAAGAGTTATATATATGTTCTCGGAATGCACTGGACACCTGACTAAAAATGCAATACTTGTTCATATACATGTTGTGTCAAAGTTGTTATCAGTAATATGAAATAACAACAATAACAGTAAAATGTAGATAAGGATCAAATTTGAAAAGCATTAAAGAACTATTGATTTAATAAACAATAAAAAATAAAGATGAATAAAAACAAGTAAAGGCTTTTAAAATATGGAAATATTCTAACAGTCTTATTTCATTGTTAAAATAATATGGAAGTAACATCCAAGTAAAACATTTTGCCGAATAAAAAATATGAATAAGTAACAAAAATTGTTTCTTACTTAATATGAAATAAACTACAATTCGCACATATTATAAACTTGAGTAACATTTTAATAGAAATCAATTTTTTTAAACATTAAGGTATTCAATTTAATAGTAAATAAAGTTGTAACAACATAGAAAAACGATTTAGTCAAAAATTTAAGTAGATCTGAAAATAATTTTGTTGGACTATCAAAATAATTATATAGAAAACTCGAGTTTGATAAACATGCTGCAAAAAGTTTTGACATTCTAATAACTTGTTCGAGCATCCTAACATAATTATTTTGATATTTCAACTAAATTACCTTCGATCTGTGTATCTACCTTTTTAGATAGATTTTACTAAAACACCGTTCTTTCTCTGTGAAAAAATTAGATCTTTCTTAAGTCACGTTAAACAAAATTAGTTTCAATTTATATGATCTGGAGACATATTTTTTTAAAACGTATATACCATAAGATATATTGAAGTATTTTTATAGATGTATATATTTTTATAAATCGAGAGAAACCAATTTTTCTTTAACGCGATTTATAGAAGAGAGAATTATTTCATAGAAAGAGGGGTTAAGATGTAAAGCTTCTCAGGTGTATGTAACTGTAATATAAAAATCGCCTTTAATATTTCGAAAAGATTCTCATAAAGGTGACATCCGTCCTTCACAATTTATTCTACGGTGTCTTTACACATCTTTTTTTATGCACCATAGGATAAATCGCGAAGGACACATGCCACCATACGAGGATCTTTTTGAAGTATTAAAGGCAACCCTTATTACAGTGGTTACGTATACTTGAGAAGCTTCACGACGGTATAAGCCAGCTTTACACTTAGAA